AACGGGAGAAACCAAAAAAAAAGGTGGGCTCCAGTTGGCCTTCCTTTGAAAGAACCCCAGTTAGCCTCAGGCCACCAAATTCCTTGGCCTGGCATTTCTTGGGGAGCCCTTTAAAGGGCAAAGGAGGAAGAAGCTGAACCGCGGGAGCGAGTGGTTGCTCGTTTTTCCCCCCAGAGATTGCGCGGCGAGGTGCCTTCTCAATGCCTCAACTTCTGAGGGCCGACCAAATAATGTTTCAACCCACCAGAAAGGGCCTTTTTGGGGACCAACCGCCAAACTCGCCAAACCAAAAGGCCGGGGAGGCGGGAGGCGCCCCTTTTCTTGCCGTAGCTGGTTTCAACTTTGGCCCCTCCCCACCCCCCCAAAAAAAAACACGCACAGGGCTTCCTCTGCTCCGGTCTGGGCCGGGGGGGGGGGGGGAAGCTGCAACCGATTTCCTTACTCGACGGGTCGACGGGTCGCGGACTGACTCACATGGACTGACTGAGGCTCCCGGCAGGAGGCTCAGGTAACCCAAAAGGCACCCCAGCTGTGTGGACACCTCCTGCGAGATATCCCGCCGATCTCCGATCTGCCCGGGTAGATGCAGAAACATCCAGAATGAAATCCAAAAGCTTAAAAGGGTTAAACCCCGAGGTTTTTATTTTTGTCTGTCTTGGGTAGTCAAAAAAGTGGAACCCTGAAGGCTCGATGCTCTGCAAAAACTGTTTCAACGGCACTCTGGCCCCGTACCAAAAGCCAAAACCAGGTATCAAGTCTTGGCCCCAGCCCAAGCCGAGGGTATACCAAACGTTTTCAGATTTTCTGCCCCCTATTTTTGAGACAAGCTTCCGCAGCTCTGACAGTGTTCAATCAATCGTCTTCAGAAAAGTTTAAAGTCCAAGAACTCAGCGAGAAGAACCGGGGGGGCGATGGGTTCCGCTGAGGGTTGCGATACTGCTCGGGCCTAACAAACAAGCGGAGTAAGCATTCCAGGCTACCCGCCCCGTGCCATGGACACTTGGCTATTTCAGCAGACTCGTTAACCCTAAAGATATGATCCCTGAAAAAACAAGCTTGACCCCAAGTGTCCACAAAACACACGATGCAGGACGAGTCTCTGTCCTCGTCAATGGCATGACAGCTGCCGGTAGAGCCTCGGCTCTCCATCCAATCCGACCCCTTCTTTCCGCCAACCTCGCATCCAAAAGGTTCTTTAAGCAAGGGCGACTGGCGCGCTTGAGGCTCTGCCAAAGTACTTTGATTCGCTCGTCCAAACCTCGCTGAGTTGCATGAACAAGACATAGTCCACGTTCAAGTCTAAGCCTTGGATTCAAGATATTTTCAGAAAGGGCCAAGATGTAAGATGGTCCCTGACGCCAACCCAGTCAAAGGGTCAACATACCTTCTGAGGTCCTCAAAACCATCAACTCAAGCACTTGCACACCTCAGGAAACAGCAATTTCCCTTTTTTGAGGGGACCAACAAGGCGGAGCAGAGGACAGTGTGGCGTCTTTGTCGGAAGCAAACCCACTGGCAGTGACGAATAGACTGTAGACTCCGGTGAACAACTCTGCCTGTGCTTCAGCTGTTGTGCCAGCCAAAAATGCTATGGTTGATTCCAGTCCATGTTTAGTGAACCTCAAATGAACAATAATTCCGGAAGAAGAACAACACATATGATATAGGGCAGGTGCCTTTTGTTTGGAGGTACACGTTTGGGATCTGCTAATCTGGATGTTTTTCGGGAACTTCAAAATCCGCCACACAGAAATTAAACAAGATCCAACTGGTTCTGTGCTTTTGATGAGGCTAACCCGAGTTGGGCTTGACATAAAGAACAAAAAAAAACGACAAAACACGAAAAACAATAATAAAACAAAACACGTTGGTCCAACCTTGAAAAAACAAAACAACACCCACCTGCATGCTTCCCAGCTACAAAAAACAGCTTCTTCGCCCCCACCCCGCCAAGAAAAACACACAAACAAAAAAACTACCCCCCACCCCTAAAAAAAAAACACGCGCCTCCGCCGGCGCGCCTCCCGCGCCGCGCGCGGCGAAGCTCCCTTTGGGCTCCGGGCTCACCAGCCACAGGGCCGCAGCCATGGCCATCAAGGCGGGCAACGCGCCCAGGACCACGACGTAACCTGCCGAACAGGACCCCGAACACCCGGGCGAGGGCGCGGAAGGAGCCCAGCCGGGCGCGGAAGGAGCGAGGCGGTCTTGTGTTTGTGTTTTTGTTTCTTCGGAGATGAGAAACACCTCAGGGGTGTTCTAGCTGTGTCACCTCTTGGGCCGAAAATTGGTGATGATTGAAACCACCCGAAGGTTGGGTTTCATAGGGACGCCCTGTGCCAAAGCTGGGGCCAGGGCAACTGAGAATTGGCGCGTTTGTCTTGACCCCTGAAGAAAACGCATGCAAAAAGGGAGGGGGGGAACCCCGGTTTCCCGGCAAAACAAAAAAAAAGGTTTTTTGGTTGCCACAAGGGGATTTTGGACAGGGTTGAAAAAGCAGGCAAAAAACCACGACCATGTGTTGGTTTGGGTGGGCGTTTGTCGCTTTGGATCAAAGCTTCACATCCGAAAAGACACCCAAAGGCCTTTGTCTACACATCGAAAGGTTCTGGACGTCAAAACATGTCAAAACCTGATCGTGCGGAGTTCCACACCCAAACAACTACCTTCTTCATCATATGAGGTGGTCCCAACATAGGGAACGCAAGTTGAACTTGTTCCTTCGGGTTTCCCTTCAAACCACCCCAAAAAAGGGGTAGCCTCCAAACAAAAGGCCTTATGACCCAAGGGAACAGTAGGGTATACAGTATTTGTTTGAAGACGGCAGGAAGTTGTCAGGGACCTTTGGCAGTCGTTTCCGGTCCGAAGTGAAGGTCTTTGGACCGTTTCATGATAGACGTGATCTTCCCACGTCTAAAGTGAGAGGCCATGAACAGGTAACCCATGCGGGGCAAAGGACATTCATGAAATAAATGGTATCAAAAGGTGATGTTCAATCCAACAGAAATTTAGGGTCTGACCAATCAGCTCCTTAGCTCCCAATATCCATCACCCGAACGTGTATGTGTCTCCTGGGTTTCCTTTCAAGCACCGCTGAGATTGGTTTTTCCACCTCACACAAAGTATCTGGGTGTGTCTTTGACCCGGGGTACCCTTCTTTGGGCACAGGAAACAGGAGCCCACGCCTGTTTTGGTCACAAGACCGAACGCAAATACGGTTGTGTTTGACCATTTCTCAAAAAACAAAAACATCCCCAACCGCCGCTCTCCTCGTTCTGTGTTTCAGGGGTCCATCTTGAGAGCAGCCAACGACGGAGTCCCATCCTCAATTTGCTTAAGTCTCCCGAAAAGAACAAAAACACACACACACACACTTGTGATAGATCCCCTCTAACACCAACAGGGGAAAATTTGCTCAAGTCCCCTGGAAAAAAAACAAAAACATCTCTCCAATATCTTGTGATAGATTCCCTCTAAAACCAACACGGGGAAATGGACCAACGACTCGTGTTTTCAGCACATGGAAGTGATGGATCGAGTCCGTTCCGCCTCCCGGGCGAAGGCCAGTGGCCATGCCTCAAGTGACCCGGTCCCCAGCCCTGGTCCCCACGCTTTTTCTGTAGTCTATTTTAGTCGGGGAACCCTCCCAACCAACAAAGGGGTGAGAAGGGCACTACTGGGGGACCTAGTTGAAACCACAGGTTCTCAGCGGGCGTTGATGCGAGAGTCAAGAGCCATCTCTGTGATGTAGGGCTCATATCATAGCCTCTTGCATGAACAAGTTACAGTTGGACAAGTTGCGGGGGGGGGCCAAAGGAAAAAACCTAATGTTAAAACTGGATCAATTGAAAAAAGCCCAATAATTAAAAAACCCGGAATTCCACATAATGCAAAGCCGGAGCTGGCGATATCGCAACAAACAATCGGCGCTCTGTAGCTAGCTACTAAAAGTGTCGCCGAACACAATGTGCACAATGTCACTTTGGATCCAGAAGAACACACACATGCCTGAAACATCTCCGGGCGGCAGCACCTTGTAGCCGCAGCTACCGCTCTATTTCTCTCCAACCACCCCTTGCTTGTCTTCAAGCCTTGCCCCAGGTGACACTTTCTTGTAGTTGCACACTACCCTGAGCCTGCCCTCTACTGCTGCTGCTGCTGCTACTGCTACTGTGTTTGCTTTGCGTAGCTGGGCAACTACTCTACCCTAATGAACGCAGACCACCATTCTTGTCCAGGCGGCCATGCATGCAGGCCTCGCGGGAAAGCTTCCTTTCCCACTGCAGCCGAAAACCGCCACACCCCGCTTAAGAAGGCTACATCTGCTATGTTATCTGCCTCAGTCAAAAGAGCCCTGCCACTATAGCGTTTGTTGCATAAGGCTTCGTACCCGGGGCAGGTCTTTGAAAGCAATTTATCCAGCAGCGCAGCCGGCCCAGCATGCCAAGGTAATGTCTCTTTGGCTGCCCGGTGGTTCAGCAGTCTCCAGCAAAAGGACTCAGAGGCAAAGACTCGAACATCTGCCTTGCCAGCATTCGGGTTCACGATCACAAGGTCTTTGCCTGGCGGTGACGCAAAATAGCATAAAAAATGATCTAACTTCGCTACTTCTGGGTAAGCAGTTAAATCGGAATGGCAAAGTAACACTTCCTTCAGAGACCAATGCGGCCAAAAGATTATTCTATCAAGACTTTGCTGGGAACCTAAATCGTTTCCCATTCTTTGAGTATCATACTTTAGGTGTTCCTCCATCGTATGAGCCTGCCTTAGCTCTCCAATCGTATTGTAAGACAAAGAAGTAATGCGGCCATGGCACGGCTTGCCTCTACGAACTCGGGCACCACAATGGACTTCTCGCCAGCCCGTCGTTGCACGGAGGCCTTCACTGCTCGAGCCAGCACAGACTGCTCTGCTTCATTTGGAGAAAACAGTGCCCAATCCAGCAGCTGGTTGGCCAGTTTCGCAGCAAAATGCTTCTTGGTAAGTAGCGCCACGCGTGCCTGTTCCTCACGTCGTTTCTGCTCTTGTGACCGTGCTAGCTTTGCGTCCTCCAAATCTTTTTGCGCAGCTGCCATTGCTGTGCTTTTCTCGACTTTGGCTATCTCAAGCTTCAGTTTGGCATTCTTCTCTTCTTGCAGCAATTGCTTGGATCTATCTCGCGCAGCTTGCTGTTCAATCCGCACCTGCGCCTCCATCTGGCGGCGCTCCAGCGCCTTTTCACGCAAGTGTGCACTCATGATCTCATTGGGACGGGCCTGGGCTCTTGACACCTCCGCCACCCGGCTATCCAAAAACCGCACTGTTGGCAGGTCGCCGATGGTCTTCGCCGCGCTGCGCATAGAGAGTAGCTGCTCCAATCTCTTCTTATCATTCTCCACGGCTATTTCACTCTTTGCCTGCTGGGCAACAGACGCCTCTGCAAGAAGAGGTTCTTCGCAATCTTCCGGCAATTCCTCGCCTTCTGCTTCTGGAGAATCGTATCCTTCATCTGCAATCTCCAGCTCTTGCCCCGGCGGTGCTTCCACCATGCGCTCACGTCCAGTCTCTTCCCCTTCGATGAGGCCTTCATGCTCATCATAAGGTTCCAAGACTTGCGTGTAGTCAGACCAGCGAAGAAGCTGCCCACTCTTTACCGCGTCCTTGATTTCAGCAACGAGCTGGCTCCGCGTCAGATCCATTTGGAGTTCTGTCCAGAAAGGCAAACACACACGGGAAATCAGATGATCTTGCGAGCCATCCAGCGCATTGGTGAGCCCAGCCGCCAACCAACCATCTGCGACCTTATCATGCTTCACTTGCCGCCAGCAGTCTACTGCACGGCTCAAGACGGTCTGTCGGGAAGTGCATGGCAAAGCGTAGCCCCTTCGCAGCTGAAGCTGCGCATCATGCGTTTCTGCGTCACGGTATGCACTTTCGTAGCTCCAGTGAGCGTGTGTGTCTAGCACTGCCACAAACGGCGTGCTTCCACCGCCCAGCTTCAGGGGAACATGGCCGAGGTCCTGGCCACACCCTAGCAAATTGCACAGCGCCAATGCAAAACAACAAAATGGCGCAGCGTCCCAAACTGCCGCCTTGCAACACACTTGCCTACAACATGCACACACGTGCACAAACACACTGCTAGTCAGACATTAAGTGCCTAAAACCTAGAACAACGTAACGTGAGCTCAGCGGTCCGGCGCCATACGCACAAAGCAAATATCATTTTACACAACTGGTATTTCAATGGTCAAACCAAAACCTTGCAAGACTGCTCATTCACATGCGTTGGGTCAGCAAAGCCCGCGCCGCGCACACAAAACACCTCCAAACAAGCAAGCAAACAAAACAAAACCAAACAACAACTACAAACAAGCAAACAAGCAAGAAAGCTAACAAACACACAAGAAAACAAGCAAACAAATAAACAAACAAATAACCAAACAAACAAACAAACAAACAGCACCAGACAAGACAAGCAAAACAAAACTAAAAAACAAAAGAAACAAACAAACCAGGAAACAAACAAACACACAAACGCACAAACAAAAAGGACCGACCGACAGACAGACAGACAGACAGACAGACAGACAGACAGACAGACAATCAGACAGACAAACAAAAAAACAAACAAACAAACACACAACAAGCACACGCACAAAACAAACACACAAACAAAGAACAAACAAACAACACACACAAACACGCAAACACACAAACACAAACACAAACAAACACGCGCACAAAGAGCGGCCCCGAACATGGTCGAAACTGATGAGAAGTCATTGTGAGACAGCAAGCCACGCAAGTGACCTCAAAGTAGCCGCAGCGGACGCCCATTTGGTGTTGACAAGGTTTCCTGAAATGACCACACAAGCTCTATAGAAGGTCTTGCGCTCGCTCTTCAAAAAAATGCCCTCTGAAATCTCCTATCGGTCAACTGTGGAAAGAGGTTCTGCACAAGGTTTTCTCTGAGAGACATTCTATCAATGTGTCCGCAAAAGCCCTGGACAATGTCACTTCGAGGGATCTTTGCAGGATCTGCAAATAGGATCTCCTATTAGCAAGATCAGAGTGCAATTGTCAACATGTTCTGCCTTCAGGATGCGCAGAGAGCATCCTCTCTACAGGGTCTATGGAAATAAAACCTTTGCGGGCCCTGCGAATGACCTGCCGGAAGAAAAAACAGCGCAAGATATCTTTGCAGGTCTCGCGCAAGACCTCTTGGGGGAATTTCAATGAACAAGGCAAGATATCTTTAGGATGTTCTTTCAAGATCTCAAAGCAAGACCTCTTGAAGGGATCTCTTGGCAAGATCTGTGCGCAAGATCTCTTCATAGCATGCCTTGGCAAGATCTGTGCGCAGGAGCCATGCGAGGCTCCTCCTTGTACTAAATATGTCTTTCTCAAGTCTCTCGCCAGGATCTGTAGAGAGCACCCTCCACAAGCTCTCTTGCAAGAGAACCGTTGCAGGTCCTGCGCCTCGAGGCTTGTATATCGCGCCACGCCGCAGGCGATCTAAGCCACCTAAAGTCCGCAGAGGGCGAAACTCCAACGTTCAAAACAAACAAACAAAACAGACAAGAAAAACAAAGAAAATCAAAAAGAGTAAAGAAAAGAGCATCGACCAAACAAACAAGCAAACAAACAAACAAGCAAACAAAACAAAAAATAAAAAACAACCGCACAAACAAAGGAACGAACGACCGAAGGAACGAACAAACAAAAAACAAGCACACACACACACAAACACAACGACACACACATATATATATATATGTGTATATATATATATGCGCACATACACATACAAACAGACACACACACACACATGCGCGCACTCGCGTGCGCACTGCTCACGCACACACACGCGCACATGCACACGCAAACGCACACACACACACAACCACCCACACGGAGACACGTGCGCGTGCAAAGTTGGGGATTCAAACTCTGTCCTTGATGAGCTTGTCAACTTCTGGGTCTAGGTGGGCAGAGAACCAATCCAAGCAGACTACCTCGCAGCAGCTGCCATCTGTGCTATCTGCAGCTCCAAGATCCCACCGCAAGAACTCCAACACCTGCTCCACACGATACGACCCTTTGGGCCCAGTTTGCACCAAACAGCCGGAAGGGACGTCTAAATTTGCCTTGATGCGGTCGGTGTCCGCTTTGAAAAGCACAGCCAACTGATTTGGATCGCCAGAGCCCGACGATCGGGCGCATGCATCCTCCAATGTCTCCCCTGAGATTTGCACTGCCTTCGTCATGGCCGTGAACCTGCATCGCGTGGCATGAACATTTTCTTTGATGTCCACGTCTTTGGCCCCCTTCAAAGCAAGAGTCTTCTGCCCTCCCACTGCGTTGTGCCACAAAGGCTTCTGGTCATACGACCGGAAGCGGAGCTTCCCGCTTGGGAACAAGCACTGGTGCAGCACTCTTAGCCGTATCGAATTTCTCCAGAGCACTCCGAGCCGCTCTTTCAACTTCTGCCGCGACACCTTGTACGCAACTGTTCGTGCTCTCCAGGAAATCCGAAACTGCTTGCGCCACCTCTGCACCCATGAGCGATTGATCTTTGGCAACTGGTCCAATGCGCCTGGCACACTCACACCAGACTCAAAGTGAATCTGCAGGACCTCTCGGTAGTCTTGCAAGATGACCCTAGCTTGGGCTTCCAGAAGGCGGCTTGTGAGTCGGCACTTCACATTCCGCACCTCAAGTGCAAAAAGTGAAAGTAACTCCCCTTGCTATACGACCCACATTTTGCTTTCGTATAGCTTTGTAAAAAGATCATGTTCCACAATGAAAGGCGGCGCAACAAGGAGCCGGCTCACAAACTATAGAAGAGGCATTCAACACGTGCTAGCTGGGAAGAAGCGGCGGTATCCACGAACCATTGGAAGAGCTCATGGCCCACATCCATGGCCAGAGGCTTGCGCCCGCCGCCGCTCACACGACGGCGCTTTCTGGCCTCGCCATTGTCCGCCGCATCAAGCAACCGCTTTGCGGTTCCTTCTTCCAGCAAGTGGTAGCACATAGTCCGTATGCGAGAAAACTCTCGCTTGTCATTCCGCGAGCCCGGAAACTCGCGCCAGATCCAGGCCACCAAGGCCGCCCCCAGCTTTTGTCCACGCTCTTCTTGCGCGTCTTTCAACTCCCGCAATTCCTTTGCCCATCTCGCTCTGTCCTTTACAGAGGTAGACACATACTTTCCGCGGCAGCGGGGTGCCGTTGCCGCCTCATCCTCCACATCTCGGCTCAACGCAGCCTGCAGCAGATGCTCCACAGACTGCGGCCGCTGCCGGGCCACAGATGGTCTCTCAAAGCTAGCAAGGAGGCAGGCCGCAAGAGAAGGCATGCATCACTACCGAAATATGGCGAAGACCTAAGATACAGAATTTGTCTAGTGCACAGCAGGCGATAGCCCAACACTTCTGGAAGCAAAGCTTTTGCAAACCACTGAGCGAGCTTTGAACGAACGTGCGCTTGCTGGCCAGAAGCAAGACAAGGTTTCTAGTTTTAGGCATGCTTCAAGATTTCAAGTAAGAGAGCCATGCTTCAAGGTGAGCAAGTCAAGTAAGGCACTTGCAGAACAAACAGAGCCATGCTGCAAGGTGAGCAAGTCAAGTAAGGCTTCAAGGTGAGCAAGTCAAGTAAGGCACTTGCAAAACAAACAGAGCCATTCTTGATTGTCACTTGGAAAATAAACAGAGCCATGCTTCAAGGTGAGCAAGTCAAGTAAGGTGCTTGCAAAACAAACAGAGCCATGCTTCACGATGAGCAAGCCAAGTAAGGCACTTTGAAAGCAAACAGCACGCTCTGCTACACGGAAGGTAGCATTTTACTCAAGATCTTTCCTATGTCACGCCATGCTCCGGGCGGGCCGCCGATAAACAAAACTGGCCTGCGTGCCGAACAAGCACACATTATGTTGCGCTCAACCCTGAAAGGCTCCAGCCCAAGGGTTTGCCAGCAAAATGCTGGGCGAGGTTGGAACGACAAGCTTTAAACTCCACTTGCCCCCTGTGCAGAAGCTCGCTGCTTGGGTGCCGGGGCTCGCAAAACCGTCAATGCTGGTAAATCAGACTCGTTCGTCAAAACTTGGAAAGACAACTCAGATGTAACCTTGGAAGCCTTCTTGGAAGGCCTCTTCCGTAGCATCATCTGCGCAGACACTGACACGGTCGTCTGGGCAGTCACATCCTTGTAAACCAAGTTGGGGGCGTCTTCACTTTGATGCTGCTGCTGGTCCAAGAACTTCCAAAAGAACCCTTCACCTGGGCTAAGCCAGAAGGTCGCTTCTTCTCCTTCCTTGCGGCTGACCTTCAAGACCGGCATGCGCTCGTCTTTCTCAGGTTGCTTCTCAGAAAGTCGGGCGCGCCGCGCGCCTTCCTCCAGGAGAACCTGAGTGAAGGGGACAAAGACGAGGGAGCCCGCCTTTGCGGGAAAGTTGATAGAGAATCTTTCCCCGTCATGCTCCTCGTGCACCCGAAGCTGGTCTTGTGCTGGGCCCCACGCACCGTTCAAAGTGAAGAGGGCAGCGCGCACGCTATCCTTGATTGCTACTCGCGCATGCTGCTCTGTCATGAGGGCCCATGGTTTGCCTGGCTGTCTATTGTCGAGCGGGCGGGCGGGCTTCTCAGTCTTCTTCCCCAGCTTTTCCTTGTCCACCGCCAAGTCATCCAAATGAATCGTCTGGATCGTATCCCCGTCCGCCATGCGAACCTTCGCGTGCTCCAGGCCATCAAAACTCAAGAGCACCCCCTGCGAAGGAGAAGGTTCGCAATCCACAATCACGGGGCAATCTGGCACCAGCCCCTTGGCCCGTGCGCGCGTGGAGGGGTCATTCTCCACCTTGCCATCCTTGATCGCGAGGGCCGGAAGACAATCTGCCTGCGCCGCGCATTTCTGCTTCTTCTTGTTGCTCTCAGCCGGCTCCACAAAGGCCTGGGCGCGTCGCGCGCTATAGTTGCTACTTCTGGCCTCTAAACCGATTGAATTTGAAGAATGCACCTGTCCGTGCTAACAAGTAAGTGAGGCACTCTGGCTGGCAAAGAGCGGCAACCGCCAGAAGTCAGCACCTGCCGGGTCTTTTCCTCAGCGGCGCTGAGCTTGTCGTCCAAGTCCTCGCTCCGCTGGTCGGGGTCGCTCGTGCCTGTCATCTTGGCAAGGGCATCCGCGGCCTTGGACAAGAAAATGACCCTTGCTCTCAAGTACACGTCGGCCGGCGCACCCGGCAACTTCTCCAACACATAGGTCTGCATGACGCCAGCTTCTCCTCCACAGACTCCACCAAGCGCCTGTCCAGCTTGCCGAAGGCTCTGATGCTGCTATCAGGCACCACTTGGCCCACAAGCTTCGTCCCCTGTCGGACCATCCGGGCTTGTGGCGCGCACCTTCAGTCGCCCAAGCAGGGCATCAGCACAGCAAACAAACTCCACAAGTAGAAATGGGTGGTGGCTTTGTAGAGGCTGTGTGTCTCTTGTTTTCTCAGCGGGCCATCTTGAGGGGTGGGTCATTTTGTAGTGGCCACGTTTTGCAAATTTGTCATTTTGTAGTCTTGGAGGTTCTTCGGCGCTGCTGAAGCTATCTTGGTCATGTGTATTCATTGGATGCTTCGGAGGCAGTTTGACATTCCCGTTCTTTCCACATGCGCTCTACAAAATGGCGGGGTTTTGTAGCCCCACAACATGACATCCCTTTGCGTGTTGTTTTTGTATGTTTTTTGCATGCTTCGTTTTCTTCAGTCTGGCAGCTACATGTTCACACATGTTCGCCATAAAATGGGTGTCCAACCCATTCCGAACACTGGCAAACTCACCCAATACATAAAATCACCGTTTATACCCATTCTTTTGTGGACATGTAAAGGGGGATCAAAGTGACTTTTAGAAAAGGCGCATGTTGGCAATGCACAAAGCAGTCTTGCACCACAGCGCAGTCTCTGGCAGCGCAGTGACCGCCGCAAGCATGCCCTGGCCGAGCATCTGCTCCGTTGGGTTGACGTAGGACTGAAAGGCGTCGATCAGCAGGTGGAGCTGCGTGTCCCCGATCACTTTGGAAAAGTTGAAGGCAGCAATCTTGAGCTCGTCCGAGAAAGCGTTGCCCACGGTGATCTTCCGGGATACGGCCTCAAACATTGACTCGCCAGGCCGTGGTGTCAGCAGCCTGCATTGCGTGTAGAAGGTCTGGATCACCGACATCTCCGTCTCCGCAAGAGCAAAGGCGGCGTCCAAATTGTCTCCAAACATCAGCGCCTTGACAGCGTCGGGATGTTCCTGCAGGGGCCATTCTAGCGCAGATCCTTCAAGCGAAACTCATTTGGATGGCTCGGAATTGCCATGTTTGAGCCATCCCAAAAGCGAAATATATTTGGACCCCTGTCCTGCCATGCTGCGTATCGCAATGTCTCGTACCACATTCCAGACTGGAAAGTCTGTCGGACCTCAGGATCTTCAAGGTTGGCCTGCAGTGGAAGACCAGTGTCCCAGTAACAGCGGCCGCCCACCTTTGCGGTGTGTAGGCTATGCCAAAGGTGCGTTTTGGCAAACGAGCCAGGCAGCGGCCGTTCCTCTACCTCCGCCAGCAGCTCCCGCTGCTTCTTCACGTACCCGTTCGTGAAGCGTGCGAAACGAAGCGGGTCCTCTGGAGGGGGCTCAATGCACAGCCCGCGTTGGTACCGCCATGTCTGGAGGCCTTCCTCCTGGAATATGCGTCTGACCACAGACTGCGCGTGTTTCCCGTTCACCCCTTGGCCATGCCGATTAAAATCTGCGCATGCCATTTCATTCAGTGGTATGCGGGTAACTCCCAGGGAGTAGGTCCGCAAGACATACGAGGTCTCTTGCAAAGACAAGGCGTTCTCGCTTGCCGCCATTGCCACGAGTCACTGCGATCTGGCACTAAGTTCAAACACTGCGATCTGGCAGCGTGCGGCGTCACCTTGTCACTCACATTGCGAGTTCGCAAGATGCCAAACTGAAAGCTGCGAGTTCGCAAGATGCCAGACTAAACCTGCCATGTCTCAGCCTGCAAGCCTGCAAGTTGCCCCATTGCAGCCCCCAAAGGCACATTGAATGGCTGCACAAGCAACTCCGGAGCAGTGCAGCTTGAAAGCTGCTGTTGCCCCATTGCAACCTCCAAAGGCACATTAAAAACAAGCAACTCCAGAGCAGTGCAGCCTGCAAACTGCTGTTGCCCCATTGCAACCCCCAAAGGCACATTAAATGGCATCACAAGCAACTCCGGAGCAGTGCAGCCTGAAAGCTGCTGTTGCCCCATTGCAACCACCAAAGGCACATTAAATGGCTTCACAAGCAACTCCGGAGCAGTGCAGCCTGCAAGCTGCTGTTGCAACCCCCAAAGGCACATTAAATGGCTTCACAAGCAACTCCGGAGCAGTGCGGCCTGAAAGCTGCTGTTGCCCCATTGCAACCACCAAAGGCACATTAAATGGCTTCACAAGCAAGTCCGGAGCAGTGCAGCCTGCAAGCTGCTGTTGCAGCCCCCAAAGGCACATTAAATGGCTTCACAAGCAACTCCGGAGCAGCGCAGCCTGAAAGCTGCTGTTGCCCCATTGCAACCACCAAAGGCACATTAAATGGCTTCACAAGCAACTCCGGAGCAGTGCAGCCTGCAAGCTGCTGTTGCCCCGTTGCAACCCCAAAAGCAAATTGAATGGCTTCACAAGCACCTCCGAAGCTGCTGCTGCCCCATTGCAACCCGTAAAAGCAAACTCTAGGGCTCCGCTAACAAGCATCAACTCCTGTCTGTCCGGTTTTACTCCTGCGAAACACCCGAAAAACACTGCTGCGCCCTTGTACAGTCAGCATCGCCACTGTAAAGGGAAACCCGAAGTATGACCACATATGTTGGTGCAAAAAGAGGCTTGCATCTACTTGCATGTTCAAGAAAGGCGTGGGCGATTGCTTCGATCGAGCTCATTCCACATGTCCGTGGCTTTCTTCCGCACTTCCTCGCGGACACGGCTGTACTCTTCGGAATCGAGAACCCGCCCATCAAAGCCGGTGTGCGGCACGGCCAATCCCTTGGTTCTTGTACGAGGCTTCCCCTCTTCGTCAACGTAGTGAACGCACCAGGCCTTGGCACCGAAGAGCCACTTCACCTCCTTGCAGTCGTCCTCATTGTTCTCTGCATTCTTCTTGGCGGGGGAGAGCTGGGGCACCTCGTTCTTCTTGTAGCTCTGGACAATGGCGAACAACGAAGCCACGGAGCTGGAGGAAGCCTCAACGTAGAACACCTTGCGCCGCCACGCCACCCTCAGCTCATGGCCGCGATGGGACACACAGTGTGGCTCGCGGAGAGCCTTGCGCTTCATGGGGGAAGGCTTCTCAGGGCCACCAGAGGCAGCTGCGCCAGCCCCATCACTGTCCTCCCCATCTGAGAAGAGGTCTTCCCTTCCAGCAGCAGCACGGCATGCCTGGTCCTTGTCAGCCCCAGATTGATCTATCAGCACACAATCCTGCAAGTCCGCAGACACCTTCTTCAAGATGGCCCCAAGTGACTCTGCCCGACAGAAGCCCTGCAGCAGCTGAGGGAGCCAGGGTGTGGTAGCCTGGACAGCTGTCATACGCACACCCTGCACGTCCACTGTGTCCACATGAAGCGGCTTTTTGAGCCAGCCGCCGGACACGCATAGGCACTCTTTTAGTTCGACCTGCTGCGGGTTACTGTGCCAGCGCGTCAGCTTGCGCTTTCCCTTGCGGGTGGAGCTCTCGATCGCTGGCTCCATTGCAGATTGTGCTCTTTTTGGGCGAGGTGCGCTGCAGCCGCAAAAAGGCATATGGCACGTCATCTTCTGCCCAAAAAACAACTGCAGCTCATGTCCAAACAAAACTCTCCTGGCAAGCAACTACAAACGGCACTCAAACATGATGAGAAATCATTGTTGCGAGGCAGGAGTACGGCCTGAAAGTAGCCGTAGCAGACGCTTGCCTTGCTTCTGTGCAAGATTTCTGGATGTGAGGGTCTCCATATAAGGTCTTGCGCCTGCTCTTCAAAAAGAAGACTCTTATCAAACATTTCCTGTAAAAAGAGGTTCTGCAAAAAGTTGTGTCTGAGAAAAGGCTCTACTGGTGTTTCTGTTGAAAGTGCTGGACAAGAACCCTGTGGAAGGATCTTTGCAGAATCTGTGGATGTGATCTCTTCTTACAAGCTCTTGGGAAAGTCTGTGCGCAACTGTGCAACAAGTTCTCTAATCTGTTCATGGCCCGCTTTCGATGTTCCAAGCCCGCGCCGCGCCACAACGAAGAGGGATTCTCCTTCGACGTTCAACACGCACGCAGCGCCACAACCAGAGCGATCCGACCGACCGAAGGTCCGCAGTGGGTTCACTTTCTTCGTTTAGAAGTCCGCAGAGTTCGACGATCGAAACGCGCACCGCGCCACAGCAAAAGCGATGCAACACACCCAGTCCGCAAAGGGGTCACTTTCGGCGTTCAAAATGCATACCGCGCCACAACCAGACTGATCCAGAGAAATTCGACCCGCCCAGAGACAGGACAGGGTTTCAATGTTACAAATACGCGCGTTGCCCGCGCGGCCAAAGTCGACAGAGTTTTCCCATTCGAACTCTTTGCTCCGCGCAGCAGCCAGGCCCGCAGAGGGTTCTTCTTCGACGTTCTCAACGCGCGCCACGCCACAGCGACAAAGACAGCTCGCCCAAAGTCCAGGATCGAAAACGCGAGAGCAAGACCCGCCCGCCAGAGGGGCCGAAAGCTTTCGACGTTCAACACGCACATGCGCTTTTTCGATGCTGAGAATAGGTGCCACGGCGCCACAGCCAGAGCGCTCAGACCCGCACAAGAACCGCACAAGGCTTACCTTTGATATTCCCGCCGAGCCACGGTAACAGCGATTCAGCGCAACAAGTCGACCAAGGGCTGGCTTGTCATGTACACATTGTGCACCGCGCAGGAGCCAGAGCCAACCCACAAGGCTCACTTTCGCCGTTGAAGTTGCACACCTCCACAGCAGCAGCGACGCCGCACACACACACACCATGCTACAACGAGATCGCTCCAGCACCGCGCAAAGCCCGCAGACAGTGCGCCCAACCCACCATTTCCGGAACTTTCCCGAGCCTGCGCAGTCAAAATGCAAACGAACATCTTGCAAGGGAACTCTTGCCCGAGCCTGCGCAGACAAAACTCGGCGAAAGAGCATGGCCCGGCCAAAGCCAGCCTTTTACCCCTATCGTAAGAAAACCTTCGAGAAGAGTTGATGTTTCATGTTCCCTGCGTATATAGTATACTCAAGACCCTCACTCAGAGAAAGCCGCATATCGCTATTGGCATGAATATCATTGACTCCTGGTGCCCTTGTTCTTCTTTGTCTTTAACTTCTTCTCAGTCTTCTTCTTGCACGTCTTCCAGCCTTGTTTCGGCGTTCGTGCTGCAATTACTGTTGCTGGCAGTGGTGTTGCAACGTTTGTCGCCAATAGGGCTGCCGCGCCGGTTGTGGTCGTTGTTGCTGCTGCTACTGCTGCTGACGCTGTTGTTGTTGCTGTTGGTGTTGGTGCTCGCGCTTGCGCTGCTGTTGTAGTTGCAGGTGTTGTTGTAGTAACCGTGGTAGTCGTACTCGTAGTCGTAGTTATGGCTGTAGCCGTATATAGCCGTAGGAAGTTGAAGTCGAACTCGTGCTCGTAGTCGAAGCCGGGGCCGCAGTGTGTAGCTGGTCTTCGTCGTAGTCATAGCCTAAGGCGTAGTTGTAGCCAGTCGTCGTCGTCGTCGTCGCAGCCGTAGCCGTAGGTGGGGTTGTAGTCGCAGTCACAGTCGTAGTCGTAGCAGTCCTAGTTGTAGTCGTAGTTGTAGCGGTGGTGGTGATATAGTCGTTGTAGTCGTAGTCTAGTCGGAGTCTTTTCGTCGCAGCCGTAGTCGTAGTTGTAGTAGGGGTCATTGTCGTAGTAGCAGCAGCAGCAGATGTAGTAAAGTAAGTGTGAAAAGTGTAGTACTAGAGAAGCGAAATAGTGGAAGTAGAAAAGTAGTATTGTAGTACAGTAGAAAAAAGGAAGTTCTGGTTGGTTCAGGGGTTCCTCCCAGCCACCCGGGCTGCAGCGAGGAACGCTTGCCGCGTCTCGGGCAGAAAAGTAGACAACACGCATTTGGCCGTCTTTTTGAGCTCCTGCGAGATGGAGGCTGAAATGTTTTGAGAGCAGTTTCAGATAATTTGGAGATCTTTTGAGATCATTTTATACCGCTCTTTGGGGGTATTTGCACGTAATAGTTGTAGTAATAACAGAAGTAGAAGTAGTAGAAGTAGAAGTCAAAGTAGAAGTAGACGTAGTAGTAGTCGTAGCAAAGGTAGAGGTACAGGAAGAGGTAGAGGTAGAGATGCTGGTAGAGGTACAGGTAGAAGTAGAAGTAGCAGTGGAGGTAGTACTAGCAGAGAAGTAGCAGAAGTAGTAGCAGAAGATGAAAGTAGTAGTAGTGGTGGTGGTGGTAGTAGGAGTAGAAGTAGGAGTAGTAGCACCAGTAGTAGTAGTAGAAGTAGTAGTAGTAGTAGTAGTAGTAGTAGTAGTAGTAGTAGTAGTTTTAGTAGTCGTGGTAGTAGTAGAAGTAGTCGTAGTAGTAGTAGGAGTAGAAGTCGTAGTGTAGTAGTAGAAGTAGTCGTAGTAGTAGTAGATATTGGTAGCAGTAGTAATGGTGGTGGTGGTGGTAAAAGTGCAAGGTAGTAGTGGTAGGAAAAGAAGTCAATAGTAGAAGAAGCAGTAGCGGTTATGGTTGTTGGCGCTGCTGCTGCTGCTGCGGCTGTGGCATGTTGCCGTCGTTGTCATCCTCATCATCACGGTCGTCGTCGGTAGCGGCGCGGCGTTGTTCGTGCTTTTGGTGGAGGCGGTTTTGCTGCTGCTGTTGGAGTCGCTGCTTACTTGCTGGTGTATTATTTTTGTTGTTGCGGTTGCTATTTCTGCTGCTGCTGTTGCGGCGGCAGTTATTTTTCTTACCATTGTTGTTGGTGTTGCTTTTGCTGTTGCCATAGCAGTTGTTGCTGCTGTTTACGTGCTTCTTGTTGCGTTGGTTGTTGCGGTTGTTGCTGTCGTTGCTGTCAAAATGATAACTGTTGCTGCTGTGGCTGCCACTACGTTGTCGTTGCTATTGCCACTGCTGCTGTTGCAGTTGTTGTCAGTCTCTTGTTGTTGTCACGAACTGCCAAAACACATGCAAACTGCCAAGCCGACATCAAGCAAACGCAAAGCACCTGTAACATGGAGAACACATGCAAACACATGCAAAACATGTGTCATGCAAAACACGTGCAAAGCACGCAAAACACATGTAACATGTCAAATCACAGGCAAAACACATGTTGTGAAACAATGAGTCATGCAAAACACACACACACATGAAAAGGCATGTGCGCGCACGGAAGCGCTGGCAAGCACGGACGTACGCGCGCACGAGCAGGAGCACTGGCAAGCACGCGCGCACACGGACGCACACACGCGCGCACGCACGCGCGGGCAAAAGCACAGGCACGCACGAGCGCACGTACGCGCGGACGAGCGCACGCACGCACTCACGTGTGCGCCGACGTGCGGCACACGCACGCCTGAACACGCCTGCCTGCTTGCGCGCGAACGAGCCTACATGCATCGATGCACGAGCGCGCACGCGCCCGACAAGCGCGCAACACTGCCTGCGCACACTGACCGCGAAATTAGACCTGCTCATTCCGTGGCACCAAGAGTTCAAGAGCACCGTCGCGACACGGCGCGCGCGGAATTTGCGCCATCCTGCACGCATGACTGCCAACGACAAGAACCTATCACGCCAACCAAGAAGCACGCCCGCTCAACTGCGCCCCCTGCACGACAGCTGCACGCGTGCCTAGCGATGCTCGGTCTGCACGCTCGTAGCTACACGCAGAAAAATTGGTATGCGCACTCTACACAGAAAAATCAAACTTGCCGAACCGACTACTCCAGGCAAGCAACATGTTGGCACGTCTCGACACAGGGGGTGCAAAAGAGAAGCGGTTTTCCTTTTGTCTTCCATGGTCTGTGGTGCGCAAATCTATTCGAGAATCTCACCCGAGCAAGCGGCAACAATTTGCAGCATGTCGGATCGCTTGGATGCGTCCTCCGCTACAAGCTTCTTCACGAGAGCGCTGGCTGCGCTGCTATGGGTCATCCTGATGCGAAAGCGCTGCTCCAAGTAGGTCTCAAGGCCCGTCGTGGCCACAACATCATACCCGTTCGGAAACAAGGCCATGGAACCAGAATGAGCCATGAGAGAATACAGGGCGCACCCAGCCGCCCAGCAATCAGCCTTCACTGTGATTGTCACCATCATGGGCTTGCACTCTGGCGGCCTATGGCCGGGGCTGTACATCTGGCGCCCGACTACCCTGATGCGATTGTTGGCGTCGAGCCGAACCGCCAACCCGAAGTCCGATAGCTGCACTGCATTGGACTTCACAACCATGTTGGACACCTTGACATCCCCGTGAAGCACACGCATTTGATGGCAATGGCCCAAGCCCCGTGCCATTTGAAAGGCGAACTTCCACCGCTGCTGCGTTCTCTTCTCAAAACACGCCCTGGACGCCACCGAAGATGGTGGCCAGTCCAAGGCATGAAGTGCGAGCCAGTCGTGCAAGGACGAATCGCCAAGCTCAAGAAGAAGGCCCACTGACAAACTGTCAGCAAGAATGGAATGACAGTTCATGATGTTCGGGTGCGCCATCAATCTCATCAGCGCAAACTCGTCCTGGATGTCCGAAAGTTCCTGCTTTACGATCTTAGCAGCGAACTCCTGCCCACTGGGATCACTCACCCGCCACACGCGGGAGTACGTGCCCTCGCCTAGGAAGGAGGTGGCACGAAGCACTCCGCCCTCCCAATGCACGGCAGGCATCGGCACATCTGTCTGAATGCCTCCTGCGCCAACAAGGCGCCCGCCCTGGCCTTGCTCAAAGCCCAGAATGCTGGCCTTGGCCTCCTTCACTTCCCGCGCCTGCCGTTGAGCCAAGTCCTGGAATGGCTGCTTCTGCGCATCTGTCATCTTCGACCTAAAGAGGCCAGGGCAATGTGTCTCCATTTCAAAATTATCCCAACACATTTCAAGATGATCTCAAAACATCTCAAAATTATCTCAAAACCATCTTAAAAATGCGCCAGGCAATCTCAAATGATCTCAAACTGTGGCTTGGCAATCGGTCAACAATTGAGGGATAAGAACACGCTTCTGGAGAAACGCCCTGCTGTGAACTGAACCTGGGTCTCTGGCCATTTGGCTACAAGATGCCGCCGCGACATCACTGGAGTCTTGCAACGCAGTCGGCGACGGTATCCGGGGGCCACGCCATGGACCTTGCTCCACTGGCAGAACAAGGCGTACGCTGAAGGGGCCCTTTTTAAGCCCAAGTCTGCAAGCTTCCGTTTGGGTGCCATCTGAGCAAAAAAGCTGTGAGCCGCTTCCATCCAATTCCCAGGATTCGCAATGTGAAATGCCTACAAAGAATAAAGGCACTCCAGAGACGCATGTCAAACCAACCCCCAGCTGTATCGACCATGCGCTTGCTCTGATTTGCTGCCTCTTGTCCTTTGAAAGGAGAGGCAAGTGTGCAGGGAATAAAACGGGTTTGTCTCGAAATAGTGGTACCAAACAATAGTGGGTTTTTTGGATTCCCCAAACGAAAGCAGACAGGCCCAAACGAACAAAATAGAGTAGCTTCTGACTTGTGCGCCTGAACAACTTTTCTCACTTGCTGCTCGGTGACTGGCTGCTGCAAGGCCAGTGGAACCGTTCGTGTGTTTGTGCAGAGGTGTGGTGTATGAATGGGTATGGGGGCGGGTGGATGTGGGTGGGGGTTTAGATGGGTGCGTGGGCGGGGAGGGGGGGGGTTGGTCGGGTGTGGGTTGGTGTGGGCGAGCGAGTGGACAATCCTATGGGTATGGCTTGCTGAGTTGTTTACCTGCGCTTGCTGGCTCTCTGCAGGCTTGTTTCTTGGTTGGTTGCGTGAGTGGTTCACAGGTTGGTTGGTTGGCTGGCTGGTTGGTTAATTGATTGGTCGGTCACTTGCTTACTCGCTTGCTTGCTGGCTAAGGAGGAGGTTGCTTTCTGCTTGGTCGCTTGTTGCATTTGCTCGTTCGCGGGTGATTGGGGCGCGTGAGCGGATTGGTTGGGAGCCTGGTTGGTTGCTTGTCGCTTGGTTCTTTGGCAGGCAGTGGGGCAAATGTCTAGCTCTGAAGTCTCTGCTTTTGCGCTTGGAGGCAAGATGCGCAACGGCGGCACAGTGGCCGCGTGCTAAGAGTAATCTCAAACTGGACCTGCAGTGGGCGGGCGTTCGCCATTTGTATTCATTTGCATTCTTTGCTGTCATCGCAAGTGGGGCCACTGCGCTAGCGGCCGCAATGCCCAAGTTTGTCAACTGCCCGCCATGCACTTTCCTTCCTGGGCCATCCACGCTTGTTGGAAGCCGTTCCAGGCTTCAATCCAGCCAGCCGAAAAAGCACCCATGCCAACTAACCAACCCGCCTGCCCGCCTGCCCACCAAGCCAGGAAGCGAAGCAAGCAACCAAGCAAGGAAGAAGGGAAGCAAGGAACAAGGAAGCAATGGAGCAAGGAAGCAAGGGAGCGAGGGAGCAAGGGAGCAAGGAAGCAAGGAAGCAGGGGAGCAAGGGAGCAAGGAAGCTAGGAGCGAGGAAGCAAGGAAGCAAGGGAGCAAGGGAGCAAGGAAGCTAGGAGCGAGGAAGCAAGGAAGCAAGGGAGCAAGGGAGCAAGGGAGCAAGGGAGCAAGGAGATAGGAAGCGAGGAAGCGAGGAAGCAAGGAAGCAAGGAAGCAAGGGAGCAAGGAAGCAAGGGAGCAAGGGAGCAAGGGAGCAAGGACGGCAGGAAGCGAGGAAGCGAGGAAGCAGGGAATCAGGGAAGCAAGGAAGCGAGGAGGAAGCAAGGAAGCAAGCAAGAAAGAAACCAAGGAACCAAGGAAGCAAGTAAGCAGGCAGCCAGGCAGGTAGGCAGGCAAGCAAGCGAGCCTTGCATGGGTTCCAAGACACTGCGAAATCGCATCTTCAAAAAGCACGAGCTTGCGAAATCCAAGGAATACCCCGCGGAGCATTGCCATCTGGCAGCATTCATTTGGACAAAGTGTTAGCAATTATTTGGGTTTTAACATTACCCAAACGCTCCTGGCTTCGGCTTCCAATGGAAGACCCAGACCCTCCATTGGACACCCCAGAGTTTTGTGGTCTCAAAACCTGGCCGTAAGGCCCAAATCCATCGAAATGGAGCGTCTGGGGAATGAGAAACCAAAAGCAGATGGTAAAAACACATGCTTCATTGCTACTCGTTTTCAACTTGGACGCGCAACCAATGGACTTCGACTAGCAACCATACCCAACTTTTCCGGGAAATCTGAATGGTCAGAAACCGAGTTGGCTGCATGACTTGAGAGAACGAGGTTGCAACACATCGAAGAATGCAAACCTGGTGCAAAAGGCAAACCAGGGGTTGTGTACACAGCAGTTTTTCAGGGTTTGACATCTTCTGAGAAGGCATTAACTGGGTCAGAATCAAAACCCGGTATTAAAATGGTCGACCCGGAACCACGTAAAGAATTAAGAAGGCGGTCGCGGATATTTTTGGTTGGGATTGTCCCTTACTAACCTTCATCTACCCGGGTTTTGATTGTGCCTCAAATGGGGGGGTTTGAATGTGAGGGTACACGCTTGCTTTGTGTTTGCCTCCAAACCGGATTTCCCGAAAAGTGGCACGTCTACAAACTCGGTAAGTTGGCATGACTTGCTCTTGCCGGATTTGTGCATGTCAACGTGAAACAAAGATTGAACCCTTTGGAGCCTTTCCGTTGGAAGCCATTCCCGGATCTGTGGATGTCCATTCGTACACACCACGAGTTTTAATTGCTGTAAACCTATTTTTACTGTAGGATCTTCGAATGACTGACCCTTCACAGAAAGGGGAAGCTTCCCTGGTATCAAACACATCCCTCATTCCCAACCCTGACCCTGACGACCTCTCCCCTGAGTACTCAGATACCAAGGGACTCGTTCAAACCGCCTCAACACCGTCCGAACACCGTCCTCCACGAATATCAGAGGACTTTGCGGGTGACTTTAAAGGGGGCCCCCTCCAAACAAGTTGAAAGAAGGACACTTTGAGGTGAAACAAACCCCAAAACAAGTTGACCAACGCCAATCTTCAACAGGACCGCAGGAACCTAAGAAAAGAAAAGGGAACAAAAACAAATGGGCCAGCCTTGGACCTCAAGTCAAAAAGTTGACTTGTTGCTAGCTGAAAGGCAAACTGGAATAAACACCAAAAAGGGCATGCCGTTTTTCTCTTTTTTGAAAAACAAAACAACAATATATATATATATATATATATCCCACGGCTGGTTACGTTAAGTCTTGGCAATGACCACCGGATCCAAAAAAGGAGCGTGCAACCGGGACGCTGAGTAAGGGCCATCTCCATACCTCGGAGGTCATGAAGTCAGAAGCCTTAGACGAACAGACGGATCTGCCGGCAGAAAAAAATCAGTCACAAGAAAACATGAGTCCAGCGGTTAGAATAAGGGTACCAACTTGTTTCTGTAGTCTATTTTAGCAGGGGATCCCTCAAGGAAGATGTTTGTTACGAAATTCGACTGGGGAAACATAGGTGGCCTGTTGAAAAAATAGATGGGTGTTGTGCCATCTATTTTTAACCCGGCTCACCTATAAAGGACACCTATGCTGGGGAAACTACTTGTTCCCAAGTGGGTTGGCGATAAAATTATGCTTGCCCCTTGCTTGCTGGTGCGAGATGAGAAAGGGAATGACCCCAACTTTTACCATCCCTTGTTCCTTTATTTGGGAATCCTTGGGGTCATTCCCACATTCTCTACCTATCGCACCAGCAAGATGAACATATGGGGAAAATTATACTGGGCCAACTGGAGTTCCCTTTCAAAAGTTAAATCTACGTTCACCGGTGTGTGGTTGCGCCCCAACCAAGTGGCCCAGACTCCACTTGTTGCAACTGGGGCAGTGAACATGAACAGGGCTTCCCACATGGGATGGGCATGTGTGAACATAGGGATATAAACGCAAACTGGTGGTAAACCTGTTTCCCCCCATTAAAACCAGCTCCAATCCGCTTACTTCTTGAATCCTGGCCAGGCCTTCACTCTGTTCAGAGATCTTTCTCTTCGGAAACTGGGGTGGTTCCTGAACAGAAAAATTGGTGAAGATAATCTCATCTCATGAGCGGATTGGACAAAAAAACACGTCTTCCCAAAAAACAAGTCCATGAACTTTGGAAGTGAGCAATAACTAGGCCCTCCAGTAGAGAGGTTAGAATTAGGGTACCTTGTTTTTCTGTAGTCTATTTTGGCAGGGGGGCACAAGGAACACGCCCGCAGCTTCATGCGCATCCGCCCTTCGTGTCGCCCAAGTGCGCGGCGAGGCTTGCGCCCACGGTGGACACACCCAGGACACCTGGACTGTTTTGGAATCCGCGAATTGCCCTGCGGAGTTTTTTGCAGAGACTCCGTCACAAGCCATGAGTGCTTGTCCCTAGGCCTCTTTAGGCTGAAAGGTTCGAGGCTGTGAGGCAGTCACTAGATTCCCCAACACTGAGATGAATGTGTATATATATATATGTATATATATATTCGGTGATATATGCCCCCCCAATGTCGACCTTGTCGTTGGTGTCAATGGTATGTGCGGCGGGTTATTGCTTTTTTGTGCTTTGGGGAAAGCAGCAAAAAAAGGTGCCTTATATAGATCTATTTAGATTCTAATTAGAAACTGGGAAAAGCTTCCTGGGAAAGGAAGTCCTCTTTAACATCTAATTTAAATAAGCATCACAATTAAACATATTCTTCCACCAGGAAATCCTATTTGCATCATCTTTAAAACTAGACAGTATACTAGGATGTTTCACTGTTAATGTCTGTCCAAGATTCATTGGACATCTCAATCCTAGAAAAAGAGCCCCGGTTCAAAGTCGAATTCGAAATAATAATACCAATGAAGAATATTATTGTAACAATCGCC